GGGGAGAGCGGAGCGGCCGCGGGGGCGGGAGAGGGGCACTGCTGAGACATTAGCCTATCTCTGGCCAAGCAGCTGGAGAATTACTAAGACTGCTTTATCAGCCCTGGCACCAGACTTCCTAGAGGCCGATGATTTCAATAAGTAGTGTTGAAGCCACACAGACAACTGAGATATTCTGCACCATTGTTTCTCAAAATACAGGGCTATGACCACCACCCCCTTGCACTTCCAGCACACACGAGGGATTATAGAAACCGGAGCCACACTGCTGGTCACCCCCATCCAGGGACTTCACGGCCCCTGAGAACTGACAGACCATCAGCAACCCCGTTTCAATTACACCAAGAGTTACTTGTCTCATTTGCTCATAGAAAACCTCACGTAAGTCATCTGATAACTCTGTCTGGCCTGCAAAGGTGGAGATTTGTATTTCACAATTGAGGAGACCGAGGCTCAGGGAAGTTCCAGGGTTCCACTGTGGCCACAGCTAGGAAGTGATAAAAGCCAGGCTTTCAGTCTAGTTAAATCCTGGCAGTCAATTACCCACTTCGCCTTTATAGAAACCTGTTACAAATTAGCTGTACAAACTAGCGGGTCCTGCCATGGCATTGCCCCACATACAATGCCAGGCTTTGATACCCACCTCTCCAGTCCTGCCTGTAGCCTCCCCATCCTCAGTCTCTTCTCCTTTCCGGCCATCCATCTCTACCCCCTTTTCCCTTTCCCCTTCTAACTTGGTTCCCTTCTTCCTTTACCTAATAAAAACCCATCATCCTCTGCTGCCCCTTCCCTTAGCCTCACCCTCAGCCCAGAAACAAGGGAAAGCTTGCTCCAGACGGAAACCTGGAGAACGGCAGGGCTTTGCAGCACTAGACGTCATGGGAAGCCCTAGGAGTCTGCAGCTAGGGCTGTGCCAGTGGTTATCATCAAATGGTTTCTTAGTTGCATGCTTTTTCTGCTGCATATTTTCATTCCCAAAGCCTTGATACCTCTTCTTGACTGATGCTATTGGATGACTGCTTTACAAGGCTATGGGTGAAGACACAGGCATGAGAGGCTATGAGTCTCTGAGCCTTGTGGTAACAAGAGCCTCCAGAAAGCACACTTTGGCCTGTAAGCAGCACTGTGTAATAATTCTATATAGATACTGATAGCCACTTGAGCCCCCAGTCTGGAGAAAGTTAGCAATGCGTGGGTTAGCTCCTTCACTTTGCTATGATTTACCATCCCCACCCCCTTTCTGGCAAGGACATCACAAAAGATTAGAAAATGGCTCAGAGTTACCATTCAGAAGACCATAATAATATCAGTTTTCCGCCTTGTAGCCCTTGGCAGGACTCCCTTTTCATAGATCACAATGTGGGCACAGGGCCAGGAGATGGTGAGGGTGACTCACGGGTCACTGCAGTTTATAAGTCAGAATAATAAAAGGGAAGGCAGATCTGACATCACTGGCAAGGGAAAATTTTTTGGTGTTGTGTTAAGCGAACTAATTACAGCTAGCTCCGAAGAACGTAGGAGGAGGACAGTGCCGGCTGAACAAAGCCAAGCCCAAGGCAGCGGCAAAAGGAAATCGCCCTCAGAAAATCAAACTCCGATACTACAAAAGGAGTCACAGAATGGATTAACTGGTTGTTTATTCTAAGGTCAAAGGAAAAAATAAAACAGTCTACGGATACAAACACTCTGCCAATCAGGAGGAAGAAAATGTGCATTGTGCTAAGTGGCGAGATTGCACACACAACCACACAGCACAGGTTTTCAATGCCTATGCTGCTAGCCACATGGCCACTCCTGCACACCGAAAGCAGAGGAAACACTTCAAGACTAAGCTCAGCTCTTAAGCTCTCTTGGTGAAGCGAAAACAGCCTCGGTTATCATTAGGCCTTGGCTGCGAAAGACGGAGTGAAAGGCTACCTTCAGCCCACATGGATCACGCTTTTATTAGTATAGTCCTGGGCTTAGTGGAAATGTCTATCGAATGAATGCAGCTACTATATTTGAGCGCATGCCTGAATACGCTACATGTTGATTGAAAGCTATCTATTTATAAGCACTTCTGCATGTCTTGAGAAACCCCGCTGTATTTTCACAGTACGGCACCCCTCCATCAGAATGAAGGCTCTTGGCCATTTCACTTCAGGGCCTGCTGAATGTACAGGCAGACAGGAAGTGTGTGGTATCCACTTAGCAGATTTTATTCCTTACTCTTGGCCAGTAGAGTTGCCTTATCTAAACAGCAATTTAGACTGACAAGGATGTTTTAAAAACAAAATGGAAAAGAAAACCAAAGCCTTTTCATTGGGCTCAAGCACAGCTCTGAGCTGGTAGAACTACAGCTAGCTGTATAAACTGGAGAAATAGTCCTCCATAGCCTGAGCTACCTAGACCTGAGGGGACATCACAGTCTTCAGACTGGGTTCTCGAGGTGGTGGACTGCGCCATATGCTCATCAACTGTTCCCCATTTCTGTGAGTGGGTGCCACTAACAGCACACCCAATAGACACAAAGGCAGCATGGAGAGATGGTCTGGATACACAATTAAGTCCATCATTTTCCTCAGTGTTTGGGTCCCTTGCTTCACGAAACTAACATAGGGCCAAGTGCTCCACCTTTAAATGGGCTGGAATAGTCTACAGGCCCCTCTAGTTCACTTCCACTTGTCTGCACGGAGGGTCCTGGTTAAATATGCCCCATCTCTGGGAAAGGCTGACAAGGAACTTATTAATTAATAATCCTAAAAAATCATAGGCTATTATCAACTGAGACCTCACAGAATTTCTTGGGGAACTCTGAGTGAAGAAAGGCAAAGTGTCAATGTGTCCCACTGTTCAAGAGAGAAGACAAATCAACCAATTATTGGGAGAAGCTGTACAAGCAGCAGGGAAAACTCGGGTTTGGGAATCTGCCTATTTCCTTTCTTTCCAGAACTTATACTCTTAAGTATCCTAGAAACATTATGAACTAAGCTGACAGGGCTCAGAAAGAGACAAGACGGCTGGCCAATAATATGGATTCAGCAACTGACTGCTGCTAGCCATGCTTTGGAATCACATCTCCTCTTCTTGTAGTTGGCAAAGCACAAGAATGACTCTAAAAAAAGGCATCAATACTAGAAAAACAAAGCTGAAAATACGAAAGTTAGGGCAGGTGGAAATACAGTTATTTACCGAAATACATGTACACATTGCACCGAGACTCCACAGCAGTGATCCAGATGAGTGGGCCTCACCGCAAAAGCTGAAGCTGGGTGAGAACATGCCACCTTGACACATCCACCACTCCACATCTACGATTCCACATCCGCCACTCCACAGCCGCCACTCCACAGCCGCCACTCCAC